GACTGTGAGACATCTATAGGATTCAGCCACGTCAGGAATGAGCAGGACCCTTGGCCCTGACCGAACTCAGGAAACTTGCCAGTGTGGTCCAAGCCTGGTCTCAGAGCCAGACCCAATCTATGGTTCCATGGCTCTCTCTTCCACAGGCACATTTTTTTGCTTATGGGGCCAGCCTACCCTGATTCACTGATTTGGAACTTTCTACCCAAGTAAACTCTCCTGTGTTTCCCCCCAAAGCCAAACAATAAGGTCTCTTTTAATAAGGGAACCCACACTTAGTGCTGTCATTGCACAATGGGTGATGGGGTGGTTGTGGCCCAGAAGCCCACGCTGGCAGCCACCCAACAGCCAGGAGACCAGGCCTACGGAAGGGAAGGAAGAAAATCACGTGCGAATAAGGGGATCCCCCTCACAACTCAGGCGCTGTTGAACTGAGGGTGGGAAAGCCTAGTGAGGTGTACTGACAGAGCATGAGGAATTTTAGGCCTCAATCCAGACATCTGATACAACTCCCATAACAAAATAGAACTGAGGACAGATAGAACTAGGTAAACAATGGCAAGAAAGGGATGCTCACAGAGGATCATTAGCACTATAATTGCTTAAGGTGGAATCTCTGGTGCACAGGGGCCAGTTAGAAATGTTCTTTTGCCCGTTGGTAAGTGTTCAATCACCTGGGAAACTCTACATTCATTTATTTTGTAAACTACTTCTAAAAGTAATAATAATAATAAATAATTTTTAAAATGCACAAGTTAAAACATCTTAAAACAGAACAGCAGGATATAAGGCAAAAGGGAAAAGTATTTCCCACTGCCCTGACCCCATCCCTAGTCCCATTCCTCGAGGGAACAATCGGTGGTTGCTGCATGGTTATCCTACCAGAAGTTCCATACATTTATTCCACTGGGTAATGGAATACACATCTCATTTTACGTTACACAAACAGGATGCCACACATACCATTCTCCAACTTAGCATTTCCAATTAACAATGTGCATGCATTCCTGGTTAATTGTAGGAGACCTGGGGGCCCACTCAGCACAGCNAGCTGTTTTGGAGACCTTTAATCAATGGTGACCTAGTTACTGCGATGGGATGGCAGGTGGGTCCAGCCACAAAAAGTGGCGTTAACAGGGAGTGCCCTCTGCCTGCTGTCTAACCTTAATTTTTGTTGCTGCAGCTCGTTGCCTATTGGGAGAAGACTTTCAAGATTGACCTATTCAGGCCACAGATTGGGGTGGTGAATGTGACAGATGTGAGTATCCCCCAGGAAGGCTTGCTCAGGCACCCTCAGCCTGTTTTCTGCTATGCAGCCTAGACTGTGAGACATCTATAGGATTCAGCCACGTCAGGAATGAGCAGGACCCTTGGCCCTGACTGAGCTCAGGAAACTTGCCAGTGTGGTCCAAGCCTGGTCTCAGAGCCAGACCCAATCTATGGTTCCATGGCTCTCTTCCACAGGCACATTTTTTTGCTTATAGGGCCAGCCTACCCTGATTCACTGATTTGGAACTTTCTACCCAAGTAAACTCTCCTGTGTTTTCCCCCAAAGCCAAACAACAAGGTCTCTTTTAATAAGGGAACCCACACCTAGAGCTGCCATTGCACAATGGGTGATGGGGTGGTTGTGGCCCAGAAGCCCACGCTGGCAGCCACCGAACAGCCGGGAGACCAGGCCTACGGAAGGGAAGGAAGAAAATCACGTGCGAATAAGGGGATCCCCCTCACAACTCAGGCGCTGTTGAACTGAGAGTGGGAAAGCCTAGTGAGGTGTACTGACAGAGCATGAGGAATTTTAGGCCTCAATCCAGACATCTGATACAACTCCACCATAACAAAATAGAACTGGGGACAGATACAACTAGGTAAACAATGGCAAGAAAGGGATGCTCACAGAGGATCATTAGCACTATAATTGCTTAAGGTGGAATCTCTGGTGCACAGGGGCCAGTTAGAAATGTTCTTTTGCCCGTTGGTAAGTGTTCAATCACCTGGGAAACTCTACATTCATTTATTTTGTAAACTACTTCTAAAAGTAATAATAATAATAAATAATTTTTAAAATGCACAAGTTAAAACATCTTAAAACAGAACAGCAGGATATAAGGCAAAAAGGAAAAGTATTTCCCACTGCCCTGACCCCATCCCTAGTCCCATTCCTTGAGGGAACAATCGGTGGTTGCTGCATGGTTATCCTACCAGAAGTTCCATACATTTATTCCACTGGGTAATGGAACACACATCTCCTTTTACGTTACACAAACAGGATGCCACACATACCATTCTCCAACTTAGCATTTCCAGTTAACAATGTGCATGCATTCCTGGTTAATTGTAGGAGACCTGGGGGCCCACTCAGCACAGCTACTTGAACCCTCAGGTCTGGCTCAAACTTCATGCACTCATTCACTGACTCAGTCACTCGCTCGCCCTGTCCCTCCCTGTAGGCTGACAGTGTCTGGATGGAGATTCCCGATGATGATGACCTGCCCACGGCTGAAGAGCTGGAAGACTGGATTGAGGACGTGCTTTCTGGAAAGATAAACACTGAAGATGATGACAATGAAGATGATGATGACAATGATGATGATGATGATGACAATGACAATTCTGATGAAGAGGATAATGATGACAGTGATGATGATGATGAATAGCACCATCTCCAAATGACTCTGATGAAAACATAATCCCAGCTCCCCATTACCCTAGATAGCACAAGGTGCCAGCAAGCAGCCCTGTCCCATACCCAGCCAGCTCCTTTCCCTTTTCCAACATCTCTTTTCCCACTCCCTTATCATCAGGAGCAGCAAAATTCAGCAAATGCCTATCCAAATATAGAAATCCCACTCAGCAGGGACAGGAGGGGAATTCTTCCCATGTTCATTGTCTGGACTGTCACGGAACAGCTCTTTTTCGTTGCCAGACCATCAAGGGTCATAGCAGTGCCAGAATCTGGAAGTATAGGGAGAACAATCTCCTAACACCTCTACTCAAGTTTACTTGTCTTTGACTATGAGGACAATAGAATTGACGGCTTGCTAACTCACAAGCATGGAGTGACCTTATAATCAGAACCCAGGGAAAACACGCGATTAATCAATTTAGCCCCCATACCTACAGCATCAGTTGAGATCCTTCCTCAAGCCAAGAGGATTCCTCTTAGGGAAGGCTCAGCCTTGGAAACAAGTTTATAAATCAGCTTCTCTTGACTCTATTAAACTAATTATTTCAAATGTGGGTCAGACCATTATGAACTCACATCCAAGCCTCTGGATGGCTACTGAGAGGCTTTGAAACATGTGTACAGGTGTCACCATCATTTCTAGTATATTAGGATACTGGGATGGGGGTTGATTTGCTTTCTGAATTTGCCTCTAGGTGACAAGTCTCATGAATCCACCAGCAGTGATGGTGATGGGAGGTGGGAGGTGGAGAAATAGAAGGATTAAAGGTTTTTGATTTTTCTGATGGGTTCATGTCTCTGATTGGGTCAGCTGGCTTCCTAGCCTGAGGTGGGATCTGAATCCCCCTTCTCTGTGGCTGCCAGTGAGCCTTCCCATTTAGAGTAAAGGTTGCTTTATCCAGTGGTCAATTAACTCTCCATTTATCAGCACTCCTACCATTGACCAGGACAACAATAATTGGAGTTCATAATGATGCCCTGAGGCACTGACAAACCAATCCCAAAGTGCCTTCCACACTGTCTGAAAGTTATACTGTGCTTGTTAGTTTTAGCAATAAGTGTGCAGTATGATGTTCTAATTTATTTTCTCAATCTTTTAACACATGTGTAAGACACTGTGCAAATTTTTTGAAAACAGGGCAATCCTTTTGTGTAATTCTGGCTAACTCTGTCATTAAACTCATATTTTGAAAATATTAAGACTATCTTGAAAATCCTGTCTTGCTTTTCTGATCTTGCTCATTCTCATCTGGCTCTAGTGCTGCCTCCCTATCCCTTTTCTGTTTTCCTTTCTGGCCTTTCTTCCTCTGCCCGCCCTGTAAATATTGGTGTTTCACAGCATCTCTCAACTCTATACACTCTTGCAAGGCAATATCTTCCATGGCCATTAACGACCACCTGTGTGCTGATGACTGCCAAATATGGGTCTCTAACCTTGACCTCTTGCCTTGGTTTTAGACCCACTCATTCAACTGCTTCTGTACATCTTGGCTTAGATGTTGTACAAGCACTTCCAGCTTAACACAACAAAACCAGAACTCTGCCTTCTTCCCTAAATTTCTCCTCCTCCTCTTCATGGAGTCCCAGTTTGGATGAGTGATATCACTATCTATCCCATTGCCTACGTAGCCTGAAGGTACCCCTTCCCCTCTTATCTCATGGCATTTTGTGCATACCCTGGATCATAGCACTTGTTAAAATTATATATATTTGTATGTCTGTCCTTTCACTAAATTGGAGGCTCCTTAGAGGCAAGGAATTTATCTTCGAATCCCCAGCACTTAGCACCCTGCTCATCACAAAGTAGATACTCATTTGTTGAGTTGATGGATGAATAATTGATCAACCAAAATACCTGTATTTCTCCAGTGTTGTCAGATAACAAGAGCTTACAGGGTATATTAGCCTGCTTGGACTACCATAAGAATTCCACAGTTCGAGTGGCTTAACTGATAGAAACTACTTTCTCATAGTTCTGTAGGCTAAAAGTCTAAGATCAAGGTGCCAGCAGGGTTGGTTTCTGGTGAGACCTCTCTTGCTGGCTTGCAGACAGCTGCCTCCTCACTGTGTCCTCACATGGCTTTTCCTCTTTGCAGAAAGAGAGAGAGCGAGAGTGATAGAAAGAGAGGAGAGAACTCTCACGGTGTTTCTTCCTCTTCTCATGAAGACATCTGTCCTAATGGATTAGGGCCCTACTCTTATGACCTTATTTAACCTTAATTACCTTTTTGGAACCTATCTCCAAATACAATCACATTGGGGGTTAGGACGTGAACATATGAATTTTAGGGGGACTCAATTCAGCCCCCAAGCAGATGCTTTCCAAGCTTTGCTGTGTTGCCATCCAACGAGGCCCAGCCACATTTCAAATAAGCCAAGGAGTATGGTCCCTTATGAAAGTGGTCTATTTCCCAGCTTGGGAAAAGCTGCTTGTTCTCAGAGGCCTGAGTAATACGTATGAAGTTTAAATCATGTTACGGTGCTCCTATGTTGGAAACACTGAGTGTTAAGCTGGTACTGTCTGTAAGTACTAGTGCTGTTTAGTAATTGGTCTAAAACTCTCTAAGCTGGTATTTATTAAACACTTGTTCTGTGCCTGGAGCACTGTGCTAAATTCTTCACGTGTATTATCTCATTTAATCTTCCCAAGGGCTTATGAGATGGCCTTATTATTATCCACATTTTACAGATGCGGAATCTGTGTGAGACATAGAGGGCTCAGGTAATTTTCCCAGGTTCACAGAAACACTTTTAAGGAGTGGAAATGTAACCCCACTTTTATACTTTAATCAAGCATTTAAATTCCTTAAATTAAGGATCAAAGAATTCCATTTTTTTCTCAGATGATGTCAGAAGACGGACTCAAGTGAATTTCCCATTATCCTTTTTAGTTCCTGAACCAAGATGCCCTTTCTCCTTTCATTCTGAGGCCATAATCAACTTAAATAGTATTGGAAAGGTAGGCTAATTAGAACTGTGAAATCTGGCAATCTCTCAGGGAAAAAAACATTTATTGTGTTACCCAGAATGCACAATCATTTTCAGTGTGTTTTTGTTAAAAAAAAAAAATCATCTCCTAATTTCAATGAGCTTGTCTTTTCTGTAACAACGTTTTGCACTGTCCAGACCCTAGTTTGTATCACCCACGAAACCCATACTGTGAATCCTATAATCAGTCCCTGATAAACCCGGTCCTACAAATCCTCTCAAGTGCCGGTAGGTCCTGAGGTTCTGTCCTCAAACTTACTCCCTTTGCCAGGATTTCTCCACCCTACCAATGAGCATGAGCATCAGAATCGCACCTGATTCTATTTTAGAAAACACAGATGCCCGTCACCAGCCCAGACCTACTGACCCGCCATCTCCAGAGCTGGGGCCTGACCTTCTGCATTTAAAAAAAAGTCATGGGACTGACATAAGCCAGGGTTGGGAACCACCACTCTTCCCACTTCCCAGGGCATCTCATCCAGCTTGTGGCTACAATGCCACCCATCTCTAGCCTGGCCTCTCCTGAGTTCCAAGTCCTCAGTCCACTATCTGCCCCTGGCCAGCTCCGTCTCTGTGTCCTATAGGCACTTCAGATCAACAGAGCTTTGGGGCCTTAAAGAGATGCTCTTAAAAGTAGCCCTCTTTTCCTGTGATCCAAACCAACTGAGAAATTAGGTCAAAAAAGTCAACAGAGTTCAAAATATCACCATTATTATGAAAAAGCAGTATTTTGGAGACTAGAGCTCAGGAGAATGGGCTTCCCAGTTTCCTGCTTTTAATTGCATCTCCCACCTCCCCACCCAAGCCAAGGGAATCAGATGTGCAGCGAAGACCCAGGCCACTGCCTCTCAGGCATGTCGAGGGGAGAGAGAAGAGGAAAAGTCTGGACACCACACACCAACTTCACCCTAAGGACCTCACTCTTAAGAAACATGGACAAATGGCTACTGCCCACTAATCAGGTAACTCTACTGCCCACTAACCAGGTAACTCGGTCCACCTCAGGACAGGAATCGGGGCTGGGTGAAAGGCCAGGAGTGTTTTGGAAAAGGTCCTTCTCATAGAAGAAGAGGAGTTGGGGAGACCATGTCCATGCTCGAAGCTTCAGCACCCTCCAGGTGTTCCCACTCCCTCAGCTCATGGGGGACAATCCTCCCTCTGCTCTTCAGCCACCGTCACTGTGTTAATCAAGGCTCTCCCAGTCTCTCACCCAGGTTCTGCAAGGTTCTGACTGGTCTTCTACTTCCAATCCAGCCTGCGCACCGCCATCAAGTGATCTTTCCAAAACAAAAAACTGATAAGTGTCTCACACATGCTGAAAAACCTTCAGTGGCTCTCTATTTCCATTGGGTGTTTAGAAGAAAAGAATTTTTAACCAAGATACGGAAGAGTGAGCTATGAGTGGAGATGTTTTTGACCACCAATGTAGAGCCTAGGCTGTGGGGTATGAGGTTGGGGAGGAGAAACGTGTAAGTCTTGTAAAACCAAAAATGCTTGCAGTCTCTCTCCTCCATCTGAGAAAAGCAAAGTCTGAGTAGTGCTGATTCTGCCGATATCCTGCCAATATATGGCTCACCTAAGCTCCGGACCAGCTGGGGTGATTTCCACTGCAGATATGGAGCGTACATGAAGCATGTGTTTTGGGATTACGGCACCCAGTTGTTATTTTAGCAGAAGTCGAATCAGCGCCACTGGCAACAAGGGAGACCATCAGGTCTAACTCTAACAAGGGGTAAAAGTCAGTTTCCTCTGTAGGACACTTAAGGCCTATGTGAGCTGCCTCTTGTCTGCCCTACCAGCCTCATCACCTGATGCCTCCCAGCCACCTGACCTCTCTCATCTAGAACCTGAAGTTGGTGGAAGCTGCCTGGTTGCTTAACACTGCCAAGCTCATGCTGTTCCGTCTACTGGGATTCCTGTCCTTCTCCATCCATGCCTGCCTGGCAAACTCCCAGCTGTCTTATTTTAAGTGTTACCCACTCTGTGACTCCCTTCCAGTCATGCCCTAGGCAAACTGGCCCCCTCCTCTGTTAAGCCCTCACCATACCCTGTGCAGACTTCTCTTATGGAGCCTACAGCTTACTCTACTTCTACTTGTATGTCTTCTCCCTGTTAGTCTGAAAGCAATCTTAGAGAAAAAAATCCTGGCTGATTTGGCTCAATCCTCAGTGCCTAAGTTCTAATAGGTACTTAATAAATCTTGTTTGATTAAATACTCTCTAAGCATGATGCAAAATTAACAGCTATTTTTTCCATTAAGAATGTGTAAAAACAAATCTAGTGATTATCGAAAGTCCATCTTATCCCAAAAAGTTTTTAGCAACATGATGTCATCTGCTAAAGAAATAAAAGCAAGAATCTCTTTGGCAGTAAGAAAGTTTCCAGTGTGGGATATCCTCTTTGCTCAAGTGAGCCAAGTCCCCCAGAAATACAGCCATCACCATGGGAAGTACAGCAGGGTGAGATCAGTGCCAAGCCCCACTCTTTGGGAACGGAATGACCACAGCTACCTAAATGTCAACTCATTCATTCTAATGCATCTGCAACCCAATGCTTGCAAGGTGAATTAAGGACCTC